CACCTATCCCCTCCTCCCACCTCAAGCCCCACCCCTATCTCCTACCTACTAGCCTCACTCCACCCCCTTGACCTGTCTGTCCTCCCTGGACTGACCTATCCCCTCCCTAACTCCCCAACTACACTCACCTTTACTGGCTCCATCCCCGCCTCTTTGACCTGTCTGTCTCCTGTCCACCTATCTTCTCCTTTATCCATCTTCTATCCGCCTCCCCCTCTCTCCCTATTTATTTCAGAACCCTCTTCCCCTCCCCCATTTCTGAAGAAGGGTCTAGGCCTGAAATGACAGCTTTCCTGCTCCTATGATGCTGCTTGGCCTGCTGTGTTCATCCAGCTCTACACCTGTTATCTCAGATTCTCCAGCGTCTGCAGTTCCTACTATCTCATGCCAGTTATGTGAGTGATTAGATAACAAGATAGCCTGGGTTAAGTAAACCACAAGAAGATTTCAACTCCATGCTTACTTTTTCTAATCAACCAGTTGAGATGTTGTTACTCATTTCTAGAACTAATGGCTCCTGGAACAGAGATAGGGACTTTATCTCTGCAGCACAGGAGCCCACAATTCCACTTAAATGTTTAAATGAAGACTAAGATATAGCGGGAATGGACGATCAGACCCACCCCATTGATACTGAATGGTGGAATAGAATCATCATGGCTGATTTGATGCCGTAAATTGAATTTCCCTCCAGGCTCCCAATCTGATGGTGATATTTAGGATGATTAAGGAGCTTGACAGGATGAATGCTGAGAGGAGATAAGGGCCCATGGTGTTAGAGGCAAGGTACTAGCATGGAAAGAAGACTGACTGTCTGGCAGAAAGCAGTGAGTGGGGTTAAAAGGGTCTTTCTCAGGATGGCAGCTGGTGACAAGTGGTGTACCACCAAGGTCAGTGCTGGGACCACAACTTTTCACTTTATACATTAATGATCTAGATGAAGGAACTGGGGACATTCTGGCTAAGTTTGCAGATGATACAAAGATAGGTGGAGGGCCAGGTAGTATTTCGGATGCGGGGAGGCTGCAGAAGGATTTGGACAGGTTAGGAGAAGTGGCAGATGGAGTACAATGTGGGAAAGTGTGAGGTCATGCACTTTGGTAAGAATAGAGGTATGGACTATTTTCTAAATGGGGAGAAAATTCAAAAGTCTGAAGTGCAAAGACTTGGGAGTTGTAGTCCAGGATTCTCTCAAGGTGTACTTACAGGTTGAGACAGTAGTTAGGAAAGCAAATGCAACTTTGCCATTTATTTTGAGACAACTTGAATATAAAAGCAGGGATGTACTTCTGAGGCTCTATAAGGTTCTGGTCATGCCACATTTGGAGTATTGTGCACAGTTTTGGGCCCTATATTTCAGAAAAGATGTACTGGCCCTGGAGCGGGTTCAGAGGAGTTTCACGCGAATGGTCCCAGGAATGAAAAGTTTAACATATGAGAAACGTTTGAGGACTCTGGGTCAATACTCGATGGAGGTTAGAAGGATAAGAGGGGGATCTAATTGAGACTTACAGAATACTGAATGGCCTGGACGGAGTGGATGTTGGGAACATGTTTCCATTGGTAGGAGAGACTAGGACCCGAGGGCACAGCCTTAGAGTAAAGGGAAGACTTTTTAGAATAGAGATAAGGAGAAACTTCTTCAGCCGGAGAGTGGTGAATCTATGGAATTCACTGCCACAGAAGGCTGTGGAGACCAGGTCATTGAGTATATTTAAGACAGAGATAGATAGGTTCTTGATTGTCAAGGGGATCAAGGGTTATGGGGAGAAAGTGGGAGAATGGGGTTAAAAATACTTATCAGCCATGATTGAAAGGCAGAACATACTTGATGGGCTGAATGGCCTAACTTCTGCTCCTATGTCTTATAGGATGTTTCCTTCTCGTGGGAGAGTCTAGGACCAGAGAGTGTAGTCTCATAATAAAGGTGCACCAATTCAAGACTGAAATTAGGAGGAATTTCTTCTCTGAGGGTTGTGAGTATTTAGAATTCCTTGCAACAGAAGGTGTTGGGACGGTGTCCTTTATATTTAAGGCTGAGATAGATCAATACTTGATCAGTAGGGGAATCCAGGGTTATGTAAAAGTTTTATATAAAAGTTAGGAAAGTGTATGTGAGAAATGTTGGATCAGCCATGATCCTGTTGAATAGTAGAGTAGGCTTGAGGGCCAAACAGCCTGTTTCTTATTGCCTTGCACGTTGATTCATTCCCCGCTTTAAATTTACTCAACAATAGAATATTCACAACCCTCTAGTATAAACAATTTAAAAGAGTTCTCAATCCTCTGAATGAAGAATTTGATCCTCCTCATTCCTAAATTATCAACCCTGTATTCTGAGACTGCCCTTACGTTTTAGATTCCTTAGTAAGGGGAGACAACCTCTCAATATCTGCCACCCTTCAGAAACCTCTGGTTTCACTTCATATTCTTGAAAACTCCAGATGATACGGAATAGATTTACTGAAGCCTCTCATCATAGAGAGCTGTGTTGAGGTTGGTTGGCTCGCCGAGCTGGTTTGTTGTTCCGCAGACGTTTCGTTACCGTGCTTGGTAACATCCTCAGTGCAGCCTCTGATGAAACGTTGGTGTGTTTTCCCACCTGGTTTTTAAACTCTGGGGTCTGTTGCGATGGATTGCCTCACTTTTGGGTTTCCTCCGTAGTGGAATGTATATGGGGTCGAGTTCAATGTGTTTATTAATAGCATGCTTCGTGGAGTACCATGCTTCCAGGAATTCTTGTGCTTGTCTCTGCCTAGCCTGTCCCAGGATCTTGGTGTTGTCCCAGTCGAAGTCGTGGTTCTCCTTGTCCATGTGGATTGAGATGAGTGAGTATTGGTCGTGTCTTTTTGTAGCCAGTTGGTGTTCATGTACTCTTGTTGTTAGTTTCCTTCCTGTTTGTCCGATGTAGTGTTTCTCGCAGTCTCTGCAGGGGATCTTGTAGATGACACTGGTCCTGTCCATGGCGGGGAGTGGGTCTTTAGTTCGGGTGAGCACTTGTCGTAGGGTTGATGTGGGCTTGTGTGCTACTCTGATGCCCAGCGGTCATAGAAGTCTTGTGGTGAGTTCTGACGTGTTCCTGATGTAGGGTAGTGTGATGAGTGTGTCGGGGCGTGTAGAGTCTTTCTGATGCTGTTCCTGTAGGCATCTCCTGACCCAGTTCTTTGGATATCCATTATCCTTGAACACTTGGAAGAGGTATTCCTCCTCCTCTTGGCGTAGTTCTATGTTGCTGCAGTGTGTTGTTGCTCTTTTAAATAGTGTTCGCACGCAGCTTCGTTTGTGTGTGCTTGGATGGTTACTATTGAAGTTCAATACCTGGTCTGTGTGTGGCTTTTCGGGGTACTTTCATTTGCAGTTCCCCATTTGTCTTGCGCTCTACCATGACGTCCAGGAATGGGAGTTGTTTTAAAAACCAGGCGGGAAAACACACTGACGCTTCATCAGAGGCTGCACTGAGGATGTTACCAAGCATGGTAACGAAACGTCTGCGGAACAACAAACCAGCTTGGCAAGCCAACCAACCTCAACACCCACAACCCAAGCTACAGATCTACTCCAAAACCTTATAGAAGAGCTGTCTTGGGAACAAATCTAGTGCACCTTTGATGTACTGTCTAAACAGCAAGTGTACCCTTTCTTGGATACTGCAACTAAAACTGCGCATAGAACATGAGGTGTTTCACCAAAGCCCAATGTAATTGTCATTTGCTAGAGGTGAGGTGCAGTATTGCAACAAGGAAGCTGTTGTAGTGATGACAAACACTTTTTTGACCCTAAGCTTCACTCAGGTAGAGTCTGTGGTGGATCAGTGGGCAAGAATCAGAGCTTGCATATCATTATGGAGTAGATGGTGACAATTGTCTGACGTAAGCCAACTCTGAGGAAGATCAGGAATGGGCCTTCTGTCAGCTGGGTTTTGCATGGTTATTGGGGGAAGAGTAGGTTAGAAGGCACTGTTACAATTAGCCATTAGGGCAGTTGTTGTCCAGTTCTTGACTAAAACCATCCATAGTTTTGTGATGTAGTAACCGGCCCCATGAATGTACAGGCATTGTGATGAGCTTCCAGATGAACTGATCCTCATTGGCCCCAGAAACCAAATCCTTTCTCTGATTCTGTGCCTCATAATCTGTCTCAAAGAAATTCCCTTTGTGTCCTTTAAAAATGGCACGCAGGGCTTTTGTATATGGGCTGCTACTGCACACTCTCCACTTCTTCACCTTTGTCTACCACCCGCATAAACCCTTGCATATGTCCGACTTTCCAGTGCAGAACCCTCAGTTTGGAGGCTCTGTACAAGGCAGTCCCCATCCCCTTTTTATTCAGGACCTGAGTTGAAGAATTACATGTAGCAGTCCTATGCAATAAAAGGTTAAGTAGCTTCACTGACTGTCATGTCATATGTAGGTTTCTTTTTGCCTTGAAGGGGTGGTCTTCCATATCTATCTAGATTGGTTTCATTTGCAGTCCCTAGTTAATTACTTAACTTGAAACCAGTCCCTTTTAAATTGCACTTTAGCCCAGATTCCTGTCTATGTGCACTCCACGTAGAAGGGTGAGCAGATTGGAGAACCTACTCATGGACCAGGCCAAGGTGGCGTCGGATTGTCTGCCCATCTTCTGTGCTTAGATCCATGTTCAGTTATGCATGCAAAGTCCACCGGCACAGTACAGGCCTTTTGTGAATAGTGGGCACAGCAGGGTTGAGGTGTATTCTCCACAGGAATTATATTTTAATTACGTTTAGTAAGTGTTGTTAATGTTTTGGTCTTTGGTTATAGTGATAATTTGGACCGCCTCTAGTGGGACAAGGTTGATTTAAACAAAGAGTAAAACAGCAATTTGAATTGGTGTGACCTTTGTTGGTCATTAAGTTTCGTACCACACTGGAAGTCATCATCCACTGAGCTACTAACAGTCCAGATCTATGCTGCAGTCAAACGTTCAGTGTATAAATCACACAGTGTCTCATTACATTGCCTTAGTTTATTGAGTGATTCACTGAGAGACCCATTCACTTCATATGCATCTGAACTTCAGTATTAAAGAAACAAATCTGGGTATACCACAGTAGTATAAAAGCTGTTAAGCAGTACAATTAAAAAAAAAATTAATTTTCTTGATTTGAAGTGATTTACAGGGATGGATAGTTGTTGCAAATTTAAAGAAAAAAAAAAAGAAGAACAATCTATCGATGTTGGCAGAGTTAAATAAATTTGGAAGACACCGAATACATTTACGGTATATCAAGCGTATAATAGCACACATATTCAGTAGCTAGTTTAATAAGAAATTTAATCACAGGGAAAGGAGAGAGGAAGCGAAGCAAATAACATTAAAGTTTTCAAATGTACTCATTAACTATAAGTAGTAATTTTCTAACTGTATCACATTTCTCCTTTTCAATCATCATTCTGTATTCTAAGCTAATGAGCAATACTCCTATTCTGCTGAATGTTCATTTTCAGTTGAATCTGCAGGTTCCTTTTTGTTGTCCTCTGGTTTCATTGCAGGGAAGAACAAGACTTCCTAAAATAGAAAACACATGGAATTAACCACTGCTTTAATTGTTTCTGCATCACAGAATACATTTGTTTTCCAGATGTGATAATACAGCTAGATCAGAAAATTTGTTTTTTTTCTGAAATGTTGATTAAAAAGGATAGATACTGGGCAGGACACCAGGGACAAATCCCTATTCTTCTTTGAAATAGTGCCATAGGATTTTTGCATTCATCTGAGCAGGCAGATTTAAACCTTCCTCCAAAAGTGGTACCTCCAATAAATTTGGTAATGTATAGCTGGGCACCAGAAAATGACTTTGAAACAAGGTGTTCACTAATCCTGTATGAGGAAAAAGGAACCTGCCATTCTGCATTCTGCCCATTTTACAAGTCTGCCTCTTATAGTCTTGGAGCAAATTATCAACACTGCAGACATTCGAAGAGCAGTTTTCTTTCAGAACCCCATCACAGCAGCAAAATCGTGTACGAGGTTCCACAAATAGCAAATGAATGAAATGACCAATTAATCAGTTTTAGTGGTGTAAGTTAAGAGATGAATGTTGGCTAGGACACTTGAAGTCACAGTTTTTCTTTACGTAATATTTGGGGATTTTTCACAGCTACGTCAATTAGTAAACATGGCCACAGCTTAATGTCTCAGCAAAAAACAGCATCCCTGCCAGAACAGCACTTGAAGGGTCATTGAAAAGGAACACCAGCTGGGGCTGTGAAATCTGCCTACAGGAATAGTCAGTTACACTGATATCCAATAATAGCAGGTGAATAGTTAAATAAGATTTAACATAGGACAAAACATCTCCTGCAGATGTTTGGACAAGGTTTCGCAGAGTGGTTAGGGTTGGCAGGCAGATAAGAGGACCAAGAAAAGATCTTCAGGGGACTCTAGACATTAAGTAGATGAGAGTAATAGAAGTCATTATTGGAGTGGCTTTCTAAATTTGTTCTCAAACAGCTGATATGGGGAAGACTGCATTTATTGGCAACTCAATTTGCGATAGCAAATATTGGTGGGCAGTCATTTTTAATCTGTTGAATCCATGTTGTATTAGTATTTCTATAATAGGATTCTATAATTTTTTTTAAAACAATGACAATGAAGAACAATATATATCCAGGTGGACTGACTTTTGGCACAGCGAAATGAAATCATATGCAGGTAGTCCCATTAGACAACAGAGGAGAGAAGAGTTGCAGTGGAGGTTTGTTTGATCAATCATGAGGAGAATAAGGAATGTTAATGCAGAATAGATGTTCACTAATAATCACAATTAAGGTTAGAGCTCAAGAAGAAATATCCAGCAGTAACTAACACATTCAATGATCTTACGGATTGGAGATAAAACAGTTGTTATGGGAAGGTGAATATGGCATTTTTTTGAGCAGTGATTGATAACAATGGTTTTTAAGGAAAGGGGGACAACTCCTTAGGTATTTCAACTGGTATTGTTGAATGGTTCTTATTCATGTGGTTCTTTATATAATGTCTTAACCTGCCCTTTGAAAAGAATAAAGAGTGGAAATTAATTTTGTTGCTGAGTGATTAGCATATTTTTACTTAAAATAAACCTGTTAATAGACATTACATTATTAGCAAGTTACCAGAGTTTTAATTACCTTTCATTCTGCTAACTAGTGTTTTGGAATATTTTTAAAGCCACAGAAGTGCACAGTATTCCACTCAAGTAGCCACACCTCAAGAACCAGAAAGTACAAGAGCAAAGTCCAATCCTGACCTCACACAGCAACTATATATTTCCAGTTTCTAGCAGAAACTGGCCTTACTTTCTTTATGTCCTCCAAAGCACAGAGAAGTTGATTAAGATGAATTTCAATATCATTATTGTTGCTAATCCAAAAAAATCCAAACATAGATTTGGGTTTTCACTGCCATTCTTCCTGATCTACACAGGCCAGCCAACAGCATACCAACACAGAAGAGAAGCAATATTCAACAAATGTTCAAGTGGTGAAAGTAATGTTATATCTGTACACCTAAATTTGTTGTAAAATGTTTTGTATAACTACCAAACAGAAGTCTTGTGTTTGACTTTTTTAAAAAATTAATTCATGGAATGTGGATATCGCTGCGTAGGCCAGCTTTACTGTCCATCCCGAGTTGTCCTTGAAAAGATGGTGGCGAGTTGTCTTCTTGAACCAATACAGTCATTGGTATATTGGGACATGCACAGTACTGTTAGGAAGGATGTTTCAGGATTTTGACCCAGTAAGTGAAGAAGTAACGATATAGCTTCAACTCAGGATGGCATGTGGCTTGAAGGGGAACTTACTGCAAGTTATGTTCCAACAACCTGCGAGATCACCTCCAAGTTGAGCCATTTGAACAATTTTGGACAACTCTGAAATGTTGAAACCAGCTATGGAATCCTAAATGCTGCTCTTGTTTACACCAGTTCTCAATATATAATATGACCGTTTTAATTTTTAAAAATAACACAGAAGCACTGCCTTTTTTTTAACATTAAGAAATCAGTTTACCTTGATATTATTAGAATCAGTCAGGAACATGGTAAGTCTGTCTATTCCCATGCCCCAGCCAGCTGTAGGAGGAAGTCCATACTCCAAAGCTGTACAGAAGTTGTCATCAATAAACATGGCTTCATCATCACCAGCTGCTTTAGCCTGGAACAACATCAAAAAAAGGCATTGGATTAAAAAAAATGTAAAGCCACATAACCTTGTACAGGATCAAACCTTCCAACTTAGAAGTGCACCGTAACAACTGTTATTTTATGATTTAAAAACTAATGTCAACTTTCTTTCCGTGATATTGAGATCAATTTATTTCACATCATAAGCACTGGTAAGAAAACTGTACATGGATACAACTTATTTGGCAATTTCCCATCCCCACCTCTGCACTCACTGGTCAATTTCATTCATTGCCATCGGGGATAAAGTAAATATTTAAATCTATTCTCAGACACACTAAACTAATGATATTTGTGCTTTGTAAAAATGGAGCAAAAGAGACAGTGAGCAATGTGTTGGATGATGAGGTCAGCTAATGAAATTTATGGAGCCAAGATTTTGCATCAGGATCAAGGAATGAGGCAATATCCAGCAGGCTCGAAAGCAGGTGCTTGAGCAAGATGGAAGGTTATTACAGTCCAATGTGCTGGATTGATGTGTGAACAGGTGAGATGAGGTATTTCTAATTTCTGAACAAAGAAGTAACAATCTCTAAACTGGCTTTTGTGGAAGAACTAGAAGGGGCAATAATAAAAAAGAATACTTGTAAAACCTAATTACTTATTTACTTTCAAGCTTATGTCAACAAGATTAATGACTAAGGCAAGGATAATCTGTTTGTATTTACAATAATGTTTATGAAGTTGTGAAGTTGAAAATGCTGTTGGATTTGACTGTATTTCATAAACTACCAATAAGAAGACTGATATCAAGAACCAATCCACAAAATTGATAGAGCTAAACTCAGTTGCAATTATCAACGAAACAACCATCACAATAAAATGAAATGGAGAATTGTTTACAATTGTGTGTTCACAATTGTGTGAGAAAACAATTATTTGTTGTACATCTAGAGTTTACCACACTGAGGTCCTACTTTGCAACCCAGGGCTGTTGAATGGTTTTAGGTTAGTTTTAAGTTCAGATTCTATTGACATAGTGATTTTCTTTCCAAAAGTGAATCTGTTGATAATTCTTTGTGCTGATCAAGATAAAGGTTGTCAACCTCAAGGAAAGGAACATTAGCTTTATGTTTAAAAAAAATCTCTAATTAGCTTCAAGACTCCCAGGATCAAAGTACATAAAACATTAAACAGTACAACACAGGAACAGGCCCTTGGGCCCATCATGTCTGTGATAGCCATAACGCCATTCTAAACAAATCCCATCAATTGCACATGGTCTGTATCTCTCTACTCCCTGCATGTTCATGTGTCTATTTAGACAGATACACGTACAGACAAGAAATAGAGAGGTACAGACCATTTGCAGGCAAGATGGGATTAGTTTAGAGTGGCATTATATCAGCACAAACATGGTAAGTATACCACCTACGTTACTCATAAGATTTTGAACAAGGTTGCCAGTCCTATGGTAATTTATACTTTGAAAAGTGGAAAGCACTCTAAGGAGGTAATTTTGGTTTAAGAAATTAGGATTGAAATTTCCTTTCTGTAATTATTACGAATGGTACGGTATTATCTCTGCTACTTGCAGTCTCAACTCAAGACCTAATGAAAATAGTCACCTTTGCTTGATCTTCAAACAGCTGTCTTTGTTTAATAGGATCATTTAATTCTGTATAAGCATTGCAGATCTCCTTTTTCATAACAAAAAGCTCAAAGCGCTCTGTCAAACCCTTAAAGGAACGATGCCTAAAACAGATAAAAAAATAAAAATTAGCAAGTTACTGAATTCATACAAAAAAATTTCACAGCCCTTCAAACAGCATCTTTTTTAGGTGTTGCATTGCTAGTAAATAGTGTGGTTTCTCTTTGGATTAAATGCCTAACATTCCCTCCAGCTTCATACTAAACATAATTTCAATTTGTATATTTTAATAGATTTTTATTTAGAATTAAAACAAATCATACATTATCACTGGCAACCTACTTCCATTCAAATCACATACTAAATGGATAACTTTTACATTAGGTAATCGAAAGGAGATTTGCACTAAGTTTCAGGTGTTCACCCTCATTAAGAACTGCACTGATGAAACATCATAAATAAGCTCGGAGTGAAATGCTGTATATTTCCATCATTTTCTGTTTTAAATTATTGGACCTGCTGTGCTGCATACCATTGGTTGATGCAAGACCAACTGGTGCAATTTTGTTCTAATGAAGCCTTAGGACTCATAATGCTCTGTATGCAATAGCAAAAAAACTGCTAAAAGAAATGTGAGAATACTACCAGTCAATACCTGCATAAATGATACATAGGTCCAGATATTCCTAAGGATAGATAGTGGAGCAGCACAAACTAGAGTTGTATGAAGGGAGGCTATGAAATATGTTAAATACCTGGGAAATTGAAGATTTTAATGGGCAATTACCTGAATCTGGAATCCTCCAAAAAAAATGCTTAACGTCAGAGAATTTGAAGGGTTCTGCTTTTATTACGTTGTTCCGCAGGAAAGATTAGGCAGTTAAAGAACAGTGCAACTTCTTGGTAATTATTGAGGTGATGCTCCCAAATTATCACACACCCTCTGCATCCCCAGCAACACTTGCCGTGAGCCCTTAGGACCTGTGACAACCGACACAGCTTTGCCCAGCCCAAACGACCACCACAACCTAACTAGATTCCCTACCCCGCTGGGTGCCTGGACTTCTGGGACCCAACATCCTTCAACTCCACCCCACGCCCCCCAACACCCCTTCTCACCTCCTAGCCTCAACTTCACCCCATATCCCCCATACTCATCCCAGCACTAACAATGACACCCCACCCTAAACTACACTAAGCACTCTGTCACCTCCATTGTACCCTTCACAACTGGCACCATAACCCCTTAAATAACATAGCACCCTAATCACTGTAAAAAGGAGTCATAGTTTGACTTCCCCAATATCCTGCACAAGGGGAGAGCTGTATTAATTTCAATAATGCTCATATTTCTGAAGAAGCAGGGATCAGAATTCTTGGTTAGAAATGCAAAGCTCAGTATTAAGCCCAGTTCTTTTCAAAATGATGGTCCTAGATTTGGCTAACTCTTGTTGCATTTTACTTATTTTAACCAAAACAGTTTGTCTTCATTTTTTCCTTGTCATTCACTCATCTTTCAGGGCAGTTTTATTATGACTTCTAACATATTTCCTCTCAAGACTCCCACTGCACGTTATTTCTCAGTACCCTTGGAAAGGCTGAAAAATACCAAAGTCACCAAGAAGCTTGATAAAAGCTGGAAAAAAAATCCTTATATGCAGACACATCCTTTAATTGCAAATCGAACATGGTCTCACACACCAATTTTTATCCTTTTATCTTTATGTGTGTCATAAAATGTACCAAATGAGTGAATAACAGAAAGTATTTCAGTCAGTTCATTGTGGTTGACAAACAGGAGGCTGGAAGAATACAGCAGGCCAGGCAGCATCTGGAGGAAAGGAGCTGTCAACGCTTTGGGTATTACCCTTCTTCAGGACTGGATGTGGGGGTAGGGCCAGCTGCAGATAGAGGCAGGGAAGGGGCGGAGGCGGAATGGTGGTGATAGGGGGACGCTGGTGGTAGGTATGACATGGTTGGTAGATGGGAGAGATGAATCTGGTTGGTAGCTGGAAGGGAGGAGGTGGGGCTGGAAGGGGAGGTGGGGGATGGGTGGCAAGGTTATTTGAAATTGGAGAACTCCATGTTCTCCAAACTAGTCCATTGCATCCGGTGCTCCTGATGTGGTCTTCTCTATGTCGGTGAGACCAAACATAGACTAGGTGACTGTTTTGCCAAGCACTTACACCTGGCCCATGACAGCCAACCTAACCTCCCGGCCACTGCCCAATTCAACTCCCCGAACCACGCCCCCTCCGACATGTCTGTCCTCAGCCTCCTCCAGGGTCGCAGCGACTCAGAACGCAAATTTGAAGAACAGCACCTTCTGCCTGGGCACCCTGCAGCCCAGAGCACTCAACACTGAGTTCTCCAATTTCAAATAACCTTGCCACCCATCTCCTACCTCCCCTTCAAGCCCTACCTCCTCCCTTCCATTCCACCTTCGGACCCTCCCTTCCAGCTACCAACCGGATTCATCCGTCCCATTGACCAACCAGGTCATACCTACCATCAGTGTCCATCTTTCACCATCACTCTGCCTCCACCCCTTCACTCCCCATCCAGTCCTGAAGAAGGGTAATACCCGAAATGTTGACAGCTCCTTTCCTCCAGATGCCGCCTGGCCTGCTGTGTTCTTCCAGCCTTCTGTTTGGCTACCTTGGATTCTACAGTTTTTTTTGTCTCTA